CCCCCCCCCCCCCCCCCCCCTTTGGAGAGTGGGTAGCTCTTATTTTAGCACCGGAAATGACGTGGATCATGATTAGCATGAGGTGAAGATAGGAAAAAGCTCGGAAGTGGTATTCAACGTGGAATTATACAAAGGCAGTCATCAAAAATAAACAAAAATTCCAACTAGTTGATTCTATTGGATCTTTCCAAACAATAGGAAGATAAATACACATCTGTGACATAAAACCCTTCAAAGCTTGCTGGAGGGGGCATCGACAAACAAAGATCTGGTCCGGGTCATTGCCTCGAGGGCCTCCTTCTCGATGCGGGTGAGCAGGACCTCGCAAGTCGGGATGTCGTGAATCAAGCCGATAACCTGTCCGGCAGTCCACACCTGTATAACAAAAGAGTCAGCAAATACGCACGAGACATACAGAATTTTGAAGGTAACTTACGCCGAAATCAACGTCACCGTTAATGAAGACTTGACGACCCCGCTGGCCGCTAACATAAGGTTGGACCTCACTGAATTCACCGCTCTTACTCTCCTGCTCCACCTTCAATGCATCCTTAGCTACCTTATTAGAGAAGAGACGGGAGGTATTCTTCCATCGGCGCAGCACAAGTGCAGTATCAGTCTCCTGTGCCGCGACGATAGCCTCTTTAACCTTCTGGTGGATCGGGGCTTCAACGGTGCTCATAAAGCGAGTACCCATATTGATACCCTCAGCACCAAGCGCCAGGGCAGCAGCAAGGCCATTGCCATCGGCGAATCCACCAGAGGCAATAAAGGGAATGCCGAGTTCCTGACGCGCACGGCTCAAAAGGATGAAGTTGGTGATATCGTGCTCACCGACGTGACCGGCACACTCGAAGCCGTCGATGGAGAGGAAGTCAACTCCGAGCTTGACGGCGGATTTGGCGTGGCGGATTGTCGTGCACTTGTGCAGGATGATAGTGCCGGCTTTCTTCAGCTGGGTGATGACGGGACCTGGGTTGTTACCGGCGGTCTCGACGATCTTGACTCCTTCATCGATGATGACTTGGGCGTAGGCAGCATAATCGGGGGGAACAATGGCGGGGAGGAGGGTCAGGTTCACTCCGAAGGGGTATTTGGTCATAGTACGACATCTGCGGATTTCTTTGCGGAGGTCTTCGGGGGTTGGTTGGGTCAGGGCTGTCAGCTGGGTTGTGGTGTTAGATACTGTATGGAATTAGGGTTTTCATTGAAGAGTATACGACATACAAGTCCAAGTCCACCGGCGTTGCTAACAGCCGAGGCCAGCTCAGCATATCCAACCCATTGCATACCACCCTGCACGACGGGCACTATATCTATGATTAGCAGTTGGTAAACTTTTGGGAATGACGCATAAATAGCCTACCTCGAATACCGAGCTTTCGAGTCAAGGCTGTGTTGAAAGGCATCTTGTTAGGTCGGGGTATCTAATCTGATGATTGCGGAGTCAGTAACTTCCAAGTAAACAACGTGCAACCTAACAAGGACCAGATATACGAACATGAGTATGATCGCTTATTTGATGCAACAAATATAGAGTCAAAGAGATAATCAAGTCTTTGAACACAAAAGACCAGATAATATAAACCGATGTCACAGCCGCGGACCTCTGTACTGTGGGGAAGGTCCGAGGTGCCGAGGTTGCATCTGGGCGCCAGGGCTGGGGTCAATTTATGGATTACTGAGCAGAGGATCACAAGGAGCCATGAAGCGCTTCATTCTGCTTGTGCATAATCAAAATCTTGACCTGCAGACCAAATATAAAGACTAGATCCTCCGAATATGTACTCTGCAAGGGAAAGATGTGTATATGATGTGGTTGGCCCCTTCACATGTGACAAGGAACCAACGACTTCACATGGTTCCATCTCCAAACTCGGGGAAGTTTACAGCTGACAATATTTTACGGAGGCAAGAGAAGAGACCCTTGTTTTGAAGTATTCATTTTGTGATGTGTATCATTATTATCGTAAATGGCTGCGCTGCATAACTGGAGTGAATATCACAACTGTGCAAAAACATAAATGCCTCAGCTGAATGCTTGCTTCTCCATAGCCAATGCAGACTTTTCAACCGTCAGATTGACCTTTTTGAATCACTGCAGTTTCCAAAAGACCTGGCAAATCTACAAACATCAACAGATGTGATACATGTAGTATGTATCCCTGAATATGAAACCCCCTCCCCTCATTGGTAGAGTGGAACGGGCGATTAACGACGGGACTCTCTTCTGAGAGCCTCTAGATCCCTCGGCGTCCACGACAGAAAGCCGCAGTCAGTGAGGGAAAGCTAAACACGACGACATCATCCCAGCCAAAGCCAGTAAACGACGTGAGCGGAGACTCTTGAGGAAGAGAAAGAAAGGAGAGCTGCGGGCCGAAGAAAGTGGGAAAACAGGCGAGCTGATCACATGACCTCAGTAGCGCGTCGGGAAGAACGATACTCCGGCTGGTAATAGACCCGATTTGATTGGAGGACACCGACTACCGGGTGTCAGTCCCGTGACTAAACACTCCCGTACCCGAGGTCGTCCCGTTGATTCCGATCATTCGCGAGCCACTTGGGATTTCTTATCCTGATCAAACAGAACAATCTCAACTCCGCAATCACAATGTTCTCTCAGAAGGTTGTCCAGCAGTCGATGCGACGGCGTATGTTTACCCCCCAATGCCTACCTTATCCGAATTTGCGATCTAACTTATCCCCGGACAGTTGCCGTCCAGCAGCCGTTCGCTATGCGGTCGTCCATGATGGGCGCTTCCCCTGTCGCTATTGCCCTCGGCAAGAACATCCAGACGAGGTCAGTTACCCAGCGCTAAAACGACAAGTTTCAATTGTTTCGCCCGCCCTCGAATGCAGCGCCCCTTACGAAATCCTACGTCATCCTCAATCGCCGGAAGTCCATACTAACCAGAGAATCGTTGGTCTATAGACACCAAGTCACTTCGGCCCCGAACACTGAGGACCCCAGCCAGCTCCTCGTTAAGCAGCGTCTTCAGCGCCCTGTCGCCCCTCACCTTACCATCTACAAGCCCCAGATCGGCTGGATCGGCAGTTCCCTGCACCGTATCTCTGGCGTCGCTCTCTCCGGCTCCCTGTACCTCTGGGCTACTGCCTACCTCGTCGCCCCTACTCTCGGCTGGCACCTCGAATCTGCCTCCATGGTCGCCGCCATGGGTGCTCTCCCTCTCGTGGCTAAGGTCCTCCTCAAGACCACTCTGGCCCTTCCTTTCACCTACCACGCCATGAACGGTATCCGCCACTTGATGTGGGATCTTGGCCGTGGTCTTACCAACCCTGTGATTATCAAGACTGGCTGGACTGTTATTGGACTCAGCGTTGCCAGTGCTGTTGGTCTTGCTTTGATTTAAATGTTTCCGTACCTCATACCTCCGAATTTCCTTATGTGTTATTAAAGTGACTTTTCCCAAATATACACGAATCTGGTCAATTGGCGCAAGCTCAAAAGGCGCTGATTCTTTTTCTTCTTTTCAGCTTTCTTATTTTTTTATCTCCATCGGAAATTAGGTTTGGATTGGGCTAGATTATTTGCATGATTTGAATCTACAAGTATATCATTTTTTTGGACTCTGGACGCTCACCCTAGATTTGTCTAGACTTTACTGGTCTACCTATAGATATCTGCTGACATCTATGTGTCAATGTGCAAATGCAGTCGGTCTCACTTGGTAAGTTCCATTAGGCTATCTTGCCCGTCGGTGGATCTGTGAATGAGAAAGGCACCTCAAGTATATAATCCCGTCATTTAAAATCCATATCCACTCTCGTAGTTCACTTTCACAAATTGTTCCTTCATTTTGCCTCCTCGGGGTCCAATGTACCTCATGACTTTTCCCATTTGTCCACCCGCAATTGATATTGCATTGACGATGATACACATCGCATTATGATACCCTAGTCGCCCATAAATGCATATCCCTAGCGTAAAGACAAAAGTTAAAATGCCTTGGATTATGATCTACAAAGCAAGTAAGCAGTTGGTCAGATTATTCCATGACTTGACCAATATATATCTAGTGGATCTAGATATTTAAGATCGCTACATAAGATAACACTCACCTATTATCCCGTGTCATCTCAACGCCAAACAAAGAAAACCCAATCAACTGCTGTTCAAGCAGGGCTAGGAGGAGGGTTGGGTGGGAAAGGTCGTGGTGAGGGAGGATCTTGCACCGAGTGATCACAAGCCGGGATGCATCCCGCGAAGGTATAGCATGTATGGGCCGGCGATGAAGGGGTGGCCTGGAAGCCATGGGAAAAAGTAGCGTTGCAAGCCATTTGAATACTCGAAAGGCACGGAACGAAGGGGGGTATAGTAGAATGGAGCACACGAGTTGGGGCTGATAGAGAAAGGAAGTATAGGTACAGATATTCAACGAAAGACAGGCGAAGTACACAAGACAAAGAACTTTGGTGTTTCCAAGGATGAAGACTAGAAATCTGGACAGGTCAATCTTCTCTATTTAAGTTATTCCAGAATCCTAGACTAGCTGGGATCATAGGTCGCGCCATCCACACGAGTCGTACACCGCTATCCTGTCGAACATCCCAATCAAGGATCACGACAAGAAGCCGTTTGGCGATATCCTTATTCCAGTTGCTATCCGTGGACCTTGGGGATGCCTTCTATCCATGAAGATAAATATCTCGGTAGAGTCTGCAAGGGCCCGCCTGAATACTTGATGTATAAACCGTTAGACAGCACCCGCAGACGGTGACACCCGCTGTCGTGAGTATTGTATTCTTGTTTCTTTTTGTTTCTTTTCCCCGGAAGCAAATATCGAACGGGAATGAGATGAAGATCCACATCATGAGACCTATTATCTTTGTCTAAAAAGCAAATTGTATATTGTCCGCAATGGACGGGTATAGATCCTTTTCCCCCGGACTAAGTGCCCCTAAAGAAGGCCACAGACGGGTTTCACCAGCGGCCTGAGCCTTCGGTTTCTTGCATCCTCTTGATGAATTCTGTTTCACCGGGTTTGTTCTAGATAATTTGCCGTTGGTTACTTATCCGATGTCATTTACTAAATAATGTTTGGGTTGAACAGCCGTCTGTTGTTTTCAAAAGTATACATATGAATTCGAGGTCGTCAAACATCAATGAGTTTGTGTTCTTGTGTCATTTAACCCTGAGATCTTTCGAAGATAATCAAAGATCCTCTGTCATTCACAATATCCCAGTACTTTATCTAGGGTTCCCACAATGCCCATTGTGGGTTGCGAACTTGCTCAGTCGTGAGAAGAATGCACATGCAAGCCGTAGAAGCTTCCAACTACCACAAGAGGCAATATGAGAAAAAGGAAGCCTACCTATGAAGCACGGACAAATAAGACCGAATACCAATACACGTGGATCACGTTTTGCCCCCTGGTACATGACAGTCTCTTGCCTAATACAGGGGACAAGTTTAGGGTACGCAGATACAGCAGGGCCGTTATTCTGCAGTCCAGAGAGGCATGGGTCATTCGAGCCAACCAGTTGTGCCTCAGCCGAGTTTTCCAGCTGCGTAATTCCGCAACCAAGCAGGCTCAACAACAGTGCCCCGTGCTCCCGATAGCTATGAGCTATGGCCTCTGCATACCCGGCAGGCTTTGCGGAACGGCTGTGTTCCGAGAACGTTACCGAAGCTCCTTTTGAATGGGTCTCGATCGCCTGGAACCCTTGTTTGTGGTTCTGTTCTTTTCTTTTCGACTTTCCGTTGTTTCTCTGCAGCGGTTGGAGACCTGTCTCCCTGATATTTGGGCCGCGCTCAGGGTCTGTTGCGCCGCTGCTCGCATCACCCGTTAGCCAGTAATATAACTGGACGATGTTACCTGGCAGGATTATTGGACCTATAGCCTAGAAGTTAAGAGAGCACAAGTTTCCCGTTGGATCATATAATGGCGATGTTTTCCAGAGAAGGATGTTGCTGGACAAAGTAGTGGAGAGATCTGCGAGACCTCTTACACCCAGTCGTCGAACCCCGAGTTTCAATGATGGGAGACATGCAGGAAATATGAGTCAAAGCTGCTAGCAAACCGAAGCTGGGGCAAATGCATATCGTGTCATAGCGGTCCCTACCTAAGTCGAACGAAAGCCTATATGTGCTGGATTTTGGCCCGCAAACAGCGGTATGGTGTATATTCACGCATCCTTCATAGATACGATAACCTGACCGCTAAGATGGAATCCACATCGCAGGGCTTCCAAGCTTCTTAATTAATGTGAGTCATATGCCGCTTTGATCGTACGTGCATCGAGGCATGGCAGAGTCGGAAGTTTGTGTACGTTCCACCTCCGATTTCCATGGCTGTGCTGACCTATGGTAGGTTGCCACGGCCGGAATCAGTGTTAGTCGCTTCGGATCTGACGCACAAGTCAAGCACTCGAGCAAAAGATACATCGCAGCGGTGAAGGTCCCGGTGGCCACCGGCTTGCAAGGTTGTTTAACTGCATGTCAAACCGCCGAGATGACAATTAAAGCGATCTGAGTCCACCGAACAAATTTCTGCGAGAATCACAGTCATGAAAAAAACAAATCAAGATGTGGTTATCGGTTCTAGACTTCACAGGGCTCGTGTAAATATGTACTTGAGACCATGGCTGGCAGAATCATACCGCCCAGACCGAATTCTTTGCTTTCCGTTCGATCAACTCCGAGTTGACACGCAGACCACCGACCCCATGGCTTTGAATCTTTCTTCCCGAGCGGCCAGGACCGCCTGCGCTGCATCCAAATTTGCCGCTCGCCCAATTGTGGGAGTCCTCCCATCCCGCACCTTCGCAACCTCCTCCCCGGAGGAGTCCAGTCAACAAGAGAAGCCCCGATGGTCCTACACTCCCGCGGCCGCAAAGGCCCCGTTCAGTCTGCACCTTGACTCCAAGCGCCCGACCTTCCACGTCAACGCAGACCCGCAACTGCTCGACCGATTCTACATCCGCTTGTTCGGCAATGGCGGCGACAAACTCCTCTCCGATGAGACCAAGTGGTTGGCGGTGACACATAAGAGTTTCGACCAAGGGCGTCGCGGATTCAACGATCGATTGGCCTTCTTGGGAAAACGCATTGTGCAGCTGCAAGCATCGCTGGCTTTGGCGCAGGATGCTCCATACGCAGGCGCCGCACCGGCAGAGAGCAAGGACGAGTTTGGTCGCGTGCCGTTCAGCCACCCGGCTCTGGATGGATTGAACAACCTCTCTGGTGAAACCAAGAAGATCCTCACCGAGCGGTCGAAGCTTGCTGAGCTTGGAAACAAGTACGAGTTGCAGAAGGTTCTCCGATGGAGTCCCAGAAAGGTATGTCTCGATCCTGGTCCTTCTTGTGCTCTGGATGATCAGCTAACGAATGTCTTTACTGCAGCCTAACGACCTCCGTGCCTCCGGTATTGAGCTCGTTCTCGCGCATACCATGTACGCTATTGTCGGCGCTGTTTCGTTAGAGAAGGGAGGTGTCGTTGCTACTAAGGTGGCTCGTGAGCGGATACTTGAACCTCTGGGACTCAAGACGGTCTCGTAAGGGTCCGAGACTTGGGGTATTGGTCTCCTTTGGAGCATTTTCAGGGCGTTATCTTGTTTGATATTTCCATCTGTAGTAGGTTGACCGGGATCGGAGAACCTCTACGATTGTACATGTACTTTTAAACAGACTTGTTTTTTTTATACAATAGTTTTCGAAATCAGCTATACCTCGATAGCCTTACTTCTTGATTCAAAGAAAATAATTCCGATCTACATGTCAATGACATCGGAGTCATCTTCATAGCACCCCAGGCCGTAATATTACATGGGACCATCCATGTGGCCGATCGAAATGGGCATTTGCGTCTTTGGAGACCGTCGCGAGATACAATACCTAGAGTGATCTACATTTTGCAAAACAATGCTTGCTTCTGAGAGGTCGCCCTGTCAAATAGTGTCCATCCATCTATTCATGAGGGACTAACCAGTTCCTATTCCTCCTCCTCATCCTCCTCAATGAGATCATTCTGAATTAGATTTGCCCGAACCTCATCCATGTCTACATATTCCAGCCAGCTACTGTACCAGTCCAGAAAATCGACGATGGAGTCGAATCTTGTCCTCTGCCCGTAAACGATCGTGGAGTTCTCAAAAACTTCGGCAGGAGAGATGACCACTCTCCACGCCCAGTCCTTGTGACTCGGATCAGAGTCTTCCACCCACCGTCGACAGTAGAGATACATGCTGTACCATGTACTATGCCCGCCCATTTTATAACGAACACCAGTCCCGGTTTGGAAGCCAACTCGTACTTCCAAGTCATCATGTGTATAGGCGTCCACGAAGTCTTCGTCGCAAATATAGTAGTGATGCAGACCTTCTACCAGATCTTCTCGGGCTTTGGAAATATCAGAGATCGATGCCATATAGATTCCAGGTGGTTCAAAAGGGGCCATGCCATCATAGCGAAAGTCCGCATCCACGATCCCACTAGCGTACTTGAGAAAGAGAGCCAGGTCGTGGCAGGGCGGGACTTCAAACTCGGTGTCATCGTCAATTCGAAAGGCCACCTCATTACACACAGTTTGAATAGTGTCCAAATACACCTGGCGCCACTCATCTGTCCATAACTTCGGCGGGATGACACCATCCATGTTCTCGTGGGATAGCGATTTGAGATCAATTAACTGGGTGGCAGTTCTCTGATGAGACTGACAGGTAGTTTCTGGGGAAACGGTAGGCTTCTCAGGATCCGCGCACTTGGGTGTCATAATCCACGTCCAGATGTTCATCTTCTTCAGTTTCTCTTCAGTAGAGAGATCCATAGATTCAATCTCATCTATTCGGTCTTGAAGGAATTGCCAATTGGAGGCCTCCATCTTGGTGCGGAATCGTTCTATCGCCAGGCGCATATTTTCATCCGCGTCAGCGGATGGCTGTGTGCTCTCCATCAGTAGTAGAGAAAGACCAAACCTAGGTGTGAGTGGAGGGTAAGAAGGGTAGACATTCAAGTTGAGATGGGGAAGAGGGGAAGAGGCTCAACAAAATAAATGTAATTACACTTTCTAGCACCATATGGCCATTAGCTGGTTTATGTACGGAGTGCTCCGTACTCCGTACTGTTTTATCTCTCACGCTACTTTGTATCTCTTCCACTGGCAAGTCCAAAAGATTGGACGAAACAAAATGAAAGTATGGAGTAGAATTACAGTATACAAGGAAGATTTGAAGTTATAAAATATAAAAAAAAATTCAATTTCAGTTATAGAAATGTATGGTTCCTCTGACGCCGCCCGAGTAACAGAGAAAGTACTCGGCCAGCTCTTATGGAACCCTCAAAAAGATCGTAGTCTCCGCGCCTCTGTATCGCAAGGTAGTAATCAAAACACTACAGCACTCCGACAGAATGCCGGAGTAGCTGTAGAAAATCACAAGGACTTTGTACTGCCTTGAACTGTCTATTGGGAGCGTTGAAGAAAGAAGAAATGAAAAAGTGCGCGACGAGCTTTTATGTGTGGATTTTATACGCTAGTCCGCTTTGAGGTTGGCGTCTATCTCCGGTCTGGGCTGGGACATGCGGGCATCGCCAACATTCATCCATTGTATCTGCTCCTTTCATTTCTCACCACATCTGTTGCTCTTTTATTTGTTCTTACTGCTTTATTGACAATGCTGCAGTAGGCGCATAAGGTGGCTTTGTTATTTTTTCTTTTTGCTTTCGACCCCGCCTTGAGAGACCAGATCATCAACACTCTCCCATCACCTATTTACCCCCATTGACACGTCATGGCGTCCGCACTCTTCTTCCTCGACCTCAAGGGCAAGGTACGCTATTTGAAATTGTGCAAAATATGGCGATGCGACTCCTTGCTGGGGAATCGCCAATGCGTTCAGGGTGAAGCCCCCGCTGACCATCTATAGACCCTTCTGGCCCGCAATTATCGCGGAGATATTCCCATGTCCGCAGTCGAGAAATTCCCTATCCTCCTCAGTGACGCCGAAGAAGAAAGCTCAGCAGTGCCTCCCTGCTTCTCGCACGAGGGTATCAACGTGCGTCCCACCGAGTCCAGGCTTTTTGGCCCGGGCCACACTCACTCCTGAGTGTCTCCTTTTGTGCGCTCCCACCTACTGACACAAAGGTGTTTCTGTCTAGTACCTTTATATCCGCCACAGCAACCTCTATATCCTTGCATTGACCAAACGAAACACAAATGCCACCGAAATTCTACTCTTCCTCCACAAGCTGGTGGAGGTCTTCACCGAATATTTCAAGGTACTGGAGGAGGAGAGTATCCGGGATAACTTCGTCGTCATTTACGAATTGCTGGACGAGATGATGGATTTTGGATACCCGCAGACAACAGAGAGCAAGATTCTACAAGAGTAAGCAGCTGGGTCTTGATGGTACCGCGGGGTGGTGGTGAAACAGCATAACTGACGGATCCGCGCTATGACCAGATACATCACCCAAGAGTCACACAAGCTGGATGTCCAAGCACGGCCACCCATCGCCGTCACAAATGCTGTCTCCTGGCGTAGCGAGGGGATACGCTACCGCAAAAACGAAGTCTTCCTCGACGTGGTCGAGTCCCTCAACCTTCTCGTCTCAGCAAATGGAAATGTCCTGCGGTCTGAGATTCTGGGCGCTGTCAAGATGAAGTGTTACCTGAGTGGTATGCCCGAGTTGCGATTGGGCTTGAACGACAAAGCCATGTTCGAGACCACGGGTCGTGCTACACGAGGCAAGTCAGTCGAGATGGAGGATGTGAAGTTCCACCAGTGTGTCCGACTCTCGCGCTTCGAGAATGACCGCACAATCAGTTTTATCCCTCCGGATGGTGAATTCGAGCTCATGAGCTACCGGTTGAACACACAAGTGAAGCCGTTGATCTGGGTGGAGTGCGTGGTTGAATCGCACTCGGGATCCCGAATTGAATATATGCTCAAGGTAATATCCCCACCCAGTATAGCAAACCTCAATCCCTAACCTCGATTCCACGAATAGGCCAAAGCCCAATTCAAACGCCGCAGCACCGCCAACAACGTCGAGATTCTCGTCCCCGTCCCCGAAGACGCAGACTCCCCACGCTTCCGCACGAATATCGGAACCGTGCACTACGCCCCCGAGAAGTCAGCCATCATCTGGAAGATCAAGCAGTTCGGCGGCGGCAAGGAATTCCTCATGCGCGCAGAGCTAGGCCTACCCTCTGTCAAGGGCGACGACGAGCGCGGCGGTGGTATGACCGGTGGATTTGGAGGTAGCATGGGCGGAGCCGGAGGCGTAGGCAAAGCGAAACGGCCCATCAACGTCAAGTTCGAGATCCCCTATTTCACGACCAGTGGTATCCAAGTGCGATATCTGAAGATCACCGAACCGAAGGTAAGTCTTTCCCACCAGTGGATCCATCCCCTGAGTCTTCTTATCTCTCTAAATCCATCGCTAACAATCACCCCACAGCTGCAATACCCCTCTCTCCCCTGGGTGCGATACATCACACAGTCAGGCGACATTGCCATGCGTATGCCAGAAATCCAATGAAAAATGTTCGAGCCCTCTGGATGATTGATTTTGTACAGCCTCGTTTCCTTTCACAACCCCTTCTTGTCCTCGTTATCTTTTTTCGCTTCCCCCCTTTTTTCATCCTTCGTTGAGGCCGGCCGGTCCGATAGATAATCAAATCCCTCCCATGTTCTTACTTCTCTCTTCTGCCTTTGGCCGCCTTATGCATCGGATGCGAGGAAATATAGATGGTTCGGATGGGATCTTATGTCACTGCAGTATTGTATTCAAAGTAAATGCGGTGAATGTACAAGGTCTTGTTATTGGGCCATTATAGTAAGATAGCTATATGCGGGAACTGGATCTAAATTGAAGAAGTATCAGTACGCGTATTCTTGTTTTTGGACGGTCGTAATTGCTTAAGATGAGAAAGTCGTATATAGTGTCCCTAAGATGGACATTGAAACTGCTATAGAACACTCGAAGAAACATGGATTTTATATAAACCTCGAGAGCACCTGTAATAGCTTGTAGAATACCTTTGTAGGTAGGTTTTCATGATATTTTTTATAAAAAAAAAAAAACGTACAAAGAAATCCCACAGGGTATCTCAATTCTCAAAGGTGAAAAAGAAGAAAGCCAAAAAATGATCAAACAAATGAAATACATTAATCTCCATAACGCCATCATTCAGCGCCTGCTGTATTTTGTCATAAAAACCTCAGAAATGACGGGAACAAGAAAAAAACAAAGGGGTTGTGAAAAGACACCATCCCCTAGCTATACAAAGCCAGACCTAAAGTCCCCTCAACCACCAATTTTACGCGTGATTCCCATTCGTCCCATTAGCATGATCCTCCGCTGTTTCCGGCGGAGGAAGAGGGAATCCATCACCACCACCGCTGCCGGCAGCTGCTTTCGAGAATCCCTCACGGGCAAGCATAGTGTTGAGCACAGCGCAGTTGTATGAAGCCTCGCCGGGAGGCACAACGAGGAAGATATAGGTGTTATCCGTGAAGCGGCCGAGGAAGATATTGAACTGGGGTGTTTTAGTGTGCATAACGACGAAGCCCGCGGAAGCCGGCGTGGTGAGAGTGTTTCTTGCGGCGCAGTGCTTGAACGCCTTCATGATATTCGACAGACGCTCGTGGCGATCGTAGATTGGATTGAGCTCGCCGACCTCGGATGTTACGGAAGTAACAGTAAGGAAAGTAGAACGCTCGAAGAGGATGACTTCCTCAGCGTTTATTTTCTTCGCGAAGGCGGATAGGAAGCGCTCGATGACGATCAAGTTCGGGATGAGCTTGTGCACGATTCCGGCCCAGGCTTTGTACAAAGATTGGTCCCAGATACTGCTCGCGAAGGTGTCGACGCGGAAATCGCTGGATCGACTGCGGATTACAGCGGAGCGCTCGTCGTAGATGCGTTGGCGGTGCTCGGCTTGGATGAGATCCATTTTGTGCACGAGACAGAAGACGTAGGCGTTCGGGCTGAATTCGCGCAGGGCTTCGATTATGGCGTGGTAGGTGTCTAGATCGCGCTCGACTTCTCGTGACTCGATGTCGAATACGTAGATGAGGACTGCGACGTCTGAGAAGATGTTGCCGCGCTGCGAGGCCAGATAGGTTTCCATGAAGGCATCTTGTCTGAGAATGGAAAACTTCCGTGTTAGTGGTATGGCTTCCCTCGAATTTGAAGTCGAGAGAATGCATATTACTCACCCTCCGCAATCCCACAGGTTCAATGTGAGGTTGCCCATGAACTTGACGTGGCTGTGCTCCACGTCAATTGTAGCACCCAGGCGTCGGACATCCTTTGCGACGTAGTTGCTGAAGATGATTGAGCGCATGGACGACTTCCCCGACCCACTTTTGCCCATCAATAGCACCTTTCTCTTCTTCTTCCGAGCATCCATTTTGTCCGATGTTCTTGGGGTTGCCGTCGAGCTCCAAATGCCCCGCTCTTGCGGGGGCAACTCGGGTCGATCTGGAGAGCAAGTCAGTGCCTTCACAGGGTCGCTCAAATGCAATGGTATTGGGTTCCGGTTAGAAGTCCAATATAAGCATGTTTTTGCCTTGACAATGGGATTGAGGGCGAGAGAGCATAAGATAAGAAGGGAAGGTGACGAGCTCCAGCCTTCTAATGCGGAGACGGAACAATTCTGTCCCGAGCACGTGACCTTGGGTTAAGCCGTTGGAGATAGGATTAGTCGGATGAGATAGGGAAAAAGATGACTCTAGCAACCTGTCCCTAGGTATTTCCCATCAAGTTATTAAGAGAATGAGACCTTGCGCATAATTGTGCACTTGTTGACACTGTTGGTACTGTGGAGTTTTATTTTATCTGAGCTCCCTGGGCCGAGGTTACGGGATGACGACATCCCATGGGTCTCCCGAAAATCATACAATATAGATCTTCCTTCTATGGAATGGCTTTTATAGACACAAGGGGAAAAAGGTGAAGCATATAGATCAGACAGAGAGAAGTATAAAAAGGTGAAATGCAGTAAGAAATAAGCCGCCGCCCAAAACCAATGGGAAATCAGATGAATAGCCTCAAATGCAGAGGAAAAAAGGAAAAAAGAAAGGGCCAAAACTGGCAATAAAAAAAGGAGGAAGATAAAGAAAAATAAAGAAAAATAGAAAGAAAAACGAAACGTGAGATATAAGTGTGAAGGTATTCGGTCATGAAGAGTTCATTTCATCAAAAAGCCCGTCCCAAATAGCAAAACCAAATGACGGGACGAAGGTATCCAGGTATCCAAGCCGCAATTAAAATGGGAATAGAGGGTATTAGAAGACAGTGCCGTCAGATCGTATCATGATAGGGGGTTCCTTGGTGTTTGGTCTCGAAACTTCTGCAATCTCGCGACCACCCTGTAGGTTGCTTGTTAGAATTTACCTAACCGGGAGAATCCTTGATAAGTGCTTACCTTCCAGGTGCCAGCCTCAAGCATTTGTGCTAGTGATAGCTGCTCTTCGGAACCCTTGAGCCCTAGCTGAGCGTTGACCTCGTCTAGGAGCTCATCCAAGAATCCGACAGTAGCGCCTCGCCATTCAACAATTACATCGTCGTCAGCGCAGAAGAGCGGTGCCACTTCGACACTTGGCTGGCCCTTGATTTGAGCATTCTCTTTATATGCGTCGATTCCACGCTGCATATCGTCCGGTTTCAAAGTCAAGAGTCCCAGGTCGATAAGAAGGCCTCCGTTTCGATATTCTGGAAGGCCTGTCAAAAGGTCGCTGCCAGCGAAGTGGATGAGCATCAATTTCGACATTGGAACCATGATCGAGTAGCATAGCCACTGTGTCAGCTTGTGGAATGGAAGGATGCTCTCCCACTGCTGTGCGGGAGGAGACTTGGGGAGACCCGAGCATTTCCAAGCGTCTCCAATGGATACTCCATCAATCTGTGTTCGTGATCGGGGCCAGATGGGGGAGAAGCCATCCATGAGCACGGTCCACAAAGTGGTAATCGGAACAATGGGTACGGAAGAAGCAAGTGTTGATGGATGACCGAGAAGATAATCTGTATAAAGATTAGTGATCAAGCGCACGCACAGAAAGGAGCCAGATTGTCTCACCTAGCATATTTCCCGGTCTAGCATCCACACCGAAGAAGTCTTGATTGTTAAGTGCCTCGGAGAGCCGTATCAACAACCCCGCGCGGCCTTCAATACCGGCCAGTGGATTTTGGTCTGTATGCTGCATCCCCTTGGCGAGAACCTCGGTCGTAACCTTCTTTAGTCCTGCACCATCCACCTGACATGGCTCCGTAGGATCGCTGCTGAATAGGCCAGACTTGAACATCTCCAAACTCGCCACCGCCAAGCCTTCACTGCGCGAGAAGACTTTACCAGACTCCTTTGACCGATATGACCACTCATTCCCGGCACCTGCATCGAGCAGAACGGACACGACAAACAAATCAATCAGACGACGGGTGCGTTCCTGCGCATCAATGCGACTGGGCCAGGACTGGAGAAGTTGGTTGATGCGGGGTCTGCCACCAACGTCGAAATGCTGCCAGCGACCATGCGGGGGGATGTTCTCGTAGTCTGGCGCATAATCTCGCTGTTGGAGGGAAACCATGTTAGCGCAAGCTCCCATGATGGTAGAATTCCCCGGTTTTACCTTTATGATGGAGACGACATAGGAAGCGGTAGCTTCAAATTTGCTCATGTCGACATCGAAATGGCTCAGTTGGTTCTTTTTGGCCTTGTTCAGGATTATGTTGGAGCGTTCGCGCACTGCATGGACACTTCGTAGGTATGCGGCCGGGTCCAGTGCTGGATCTGGTGGTCTGGCGATAGGAAGTTCTGGAATTGAAGCTGGCGGACCACTTCCCTTGTATCCTGGGGATCTCAGGGATGTATTTGATGTGCGAGCACTGTTGACCGTTACAAAGGACTCGTTCTCAGTCTCGCTTTGACTGGAGTTCTTTGAATCTTTGCGCTTGAATAGTCCCATCATTTCCAGTATTGGGAGGTTTCACCCCAGACCTTGAAGGGTTGAAAGGGGGTACCAGTGGAGAAGTCGAAAGGAGGGGTGAGGAGAAATGTATGGTAGTTCAGATAAGGAGTACACAAAGAGGGGGAAGTGACATCTGGATGTGATCTTTTTCTTAATTTTTTTTCTTTAGTAACATAACATAATAAAGGCTCTAAGGGTAAACTAAGTAAAAATAGGTAAAAGAATAATAGTAATTATATTTTTTTTTATGGGGCTTGATGACCGGAGCTCTTTAACTTGTTAACCATTTACAACATAGTACGGGCTAGATGCCCGAGCATTAATAATTTGGAGACATTGGAGTCGATTTAGGGGGAATTGACTCTGGCAAAGTCCTTAGTTAGGCGAAGTCTAGAATAATAAGAGCGAAAGCCTGGGAAAGTACCAGGTACAATCCACAACTCGTACTTTAGTATGCAGAATGTGTAGGATGGCAGTACCGGGTACGCCGAGTAGGTTCAATGCATATTTGCCCCTAAAAGTTACTAGTGTCCATCATGCATCAATGTACATACTACTAGTTATATTGTAATTTGTATTCCTTATTCCATACTCCGTACTCCATACAATAAACAATAATAATTGTCCTGTGTAGCATACAAAGTCTTTGTGGACGGACAAGGACAAGTCCGTACTACTACACATTCCCGGCAGTAAATTGGACCCGATTGCCGTAATAGGTATGGGGATGGACCCGGAGGGTTGAACCAGTCGGAAAGAAAGAGAAGGGGCCATCATTCCACTGTGTAAGGGGCCAACCAATCATGTCTTGGGGGAATGGATAAATAGGAATGCAAATATCAAGTAAATTTTACATCCGAGGGGCCACCGGGTGGTACGTGTTTAGATCGCTAGCTCGGATATCGATGAGACCATGCCATATTAGGGGATATAATAGCTTTAGGAGAAGAAAAGCGAATACATGTGGAAATGCACGGGCTAGCGTACCGTTGAAGAGAAAAAAAAAAGTAAAGACACGGCTTGCCCTATGCGGAATATCGAATCCACTTCGGGGACTTCTTAAAGTTTGTGTGAATGGCTGGCCATCGCGGCTCGCGTTAGTTCTCGTGTGTGTCTGCTAAATAAGCGCATGTGAATGAGACTTTTTATGGAGTGTCTCCAAATATTAAGGTGTAACTAATGCCTGTGTCTTAGAGCTAGGAACAATTGTGGGATTTTCATACTGCATAAAAACCGGAGAATTAATTTGATTTCGATATCAAAATGGGTATTGCCTCCTCAGCCTATCATTTAGAAGAGGAAGATATCGCTTCTCACATGTCATAATATGAACCCTAACACCGTCTCTCAAGTCCAGACTCCAAGGTTTCATATCATCGGCCCTTCCTTTTTGGGAATAATGTGTTTAGACGTATACCTAGGTACCTCCTACTCCGTACCTAGGTAGGACGGGTAATTCCAGGCTCGAGCCTTATTTGTCATTATGCAATGGAGTCTGCATAATACATGTAACATGGACTGTGCAGTGCGAAGGATCATACTGACGTATACTCTGTAGTTGTACGGAGTACTCCGTACGGTGTACGTTAAAATCCTTCGACTCTTTTTGACTCTCATTAGGCCTCATCTCCGGACCGTTTAAGCCCAACCCCCCCCGGTTACAACTAAACCACAATGCAAGGACCCAGCTAACGGGAAGCACGGGCCTGGCCACTCTGTTGGGTCGTTTCAAATTAACTCTGTTTTGTTTTTCTTTCCCCTTTTTTCCTCTTTTTTTTCATTTTTCATTTCTTGAGAATGACGTCTGAAAAATAGATCATAAGTTGTACGGAGTTTATCGTATCTATCCATAGAGATCAAGTGGCAATAATAAGCGTAGTGTGAAGTAAAAATACGAGCACTGAAGGTCAGGGGCAAGACACGATGTGGTCCACCGATTTGATTTCCATTCGCTACCGTGCGGCTCGTCTTCCCGAGGGTTCCGCTGTTGTGGAGTTCCGACTTTCCGTTTTTCGAAGGGTGCAATTCTCATTACGGAGTACATACTCCGTACATTGTAATACTACTCCGTATACGGATTACTTTGTATATGAACTGAATATCGCCCCCGGACTCTTTGAACCCTACTACACAGAGTAGATAGTATATCAATAGTACGGAGTACGTAGGAACTAATTATTGAGACCATGACGACAATGCGGGGTTTGACCCAGAAAATGAGTCTATTAATGAATAATGATACAACCTTGGAAGTTATTAGATATCATCTGACCACGAGACCTTTATCGAAGTACTCCCGAGGTCCGTACTCCGTCCGGAGTACGGAATACTGATAAATCTAACTATAACAAGATGTGGCCTGATTGGCTTTGCCACCGGCATCTCTGATACCTACAGTACACTATCTAGGGTATTCCCAAAGCACTTTTTCAATGTATTTTTGTGTCATATTTCCAAGCAACATTCCTTGGAAAGGCCGTTGCCTACATACTGAGTGGAGTATGTACCTCCCTATTTTGGAATTGGCATGATATTTGAGTATTGTACGGAGTAGAGTAGAACCCCCTTCATCCATCTCCTATTCAAAATATCTGTTCTCTAAATCGAAAATGCAAGCGAGAGGAACTCCCGCATCCCTTGTTAAACTCAGCCTCAGGATCTGCAGGTGAGCCACTCATCCCTCTTAACAACACTACTTAGCTGAGATCTTTCGAACTAGAGGAATACAACCACACACACCACTTGCCAGCATGGCATACCATTCGAAAATCTTGAGGACGCAAGAAAATCAGAAAAATAGTCGGAGCTCAAGTAAGTGATCCTTGTTCTTCTCTTTTCAATGCCTACGAGAATATCGAGAGCTGGCCCAACGTTTTGTACAGATTTTGGGTTGGCATTCATTATTCGATATAAAAACTCCTTATCGATCAGATATGTCTAACCTAAGCATCAGTAGATATTCACTTGCTATAGAAAGGATATCGTCTTACATATATTAAGATAAAACATAGAATGGTTGGTAACCTATGTTGTAGTAACCTAGAAGCGTAACTAGGAGTTATATAAGGCCCTGAGGAATTCTAACCTTTAGTTCTAAGGGTTATCCTTTAGGGTATTAGAGTGTATATTGGATTTCTTGATTCCTAAAAGGATTAATAATAATACTAATAATGATTTGAGTCTAAGGTTGTACATAATAGACTCCTTATATTATGCACTAGAATATATACGAATTAGAGGCGCACTCATGATATTTAAAGACCTAGATTTGATATAACACTACGGAGTAATCGTTAGGTTCAAGTCTGCAAGCTTGGAATGCCTACAACATAGGTCGCCTGGCAGAAGGATTTCCCGGTGGAGATTGCCTAGCGCCCAATTCCGGAGGAGTATGGAGTACTCTGTACTACACTGCAGATATTTACAAGGGGCTAGTTAGTCTATGAGGGGACATGGGGTCCCTATCCCATCGGAAAAGCACTAGGAACTAATTGGTTGTCTGCAGCTTCAAAGAATGTAAGGCGTTGTCTGATTCACTCAAGATAGTAATCTTCGTCGAGCGGACCTAGGGGTTTGGCTGATTCTCAGCTTGGGAGTTCCATCTCTAACTAGTTACATGCACACTAAAAAAAGTCAAAAGACTGTTTCGGCTCACAGTCACAACGGGGTACTTGTTGCTACAATGTGATATCATTTATTTGTACCGTTCCATCCACTTTGACATCTAAAGCTAATTCGGGAGGATCACTATGGAAGTGAACTATACTTCGTATACCGAGTAGTCGTGGATTATATGCATACAGGGTTATACGTAAGTAGTACATATATACTCCGTACTCCGTATGTAGATATGTACTGCCGCTTCTGATGCTTCATCCTTTGCGGAAAAGTCCGCAAGGATCCCAAAAGACCTACGCACGGAGACTGCCGCTGTAGTTGCACTACTCATAGATTCTCCCATCTCGCATAGATGCACTTATCCGGTGGTCTTTGACTTGCCAAACTTCGTTAGCCCAGGCGCTAATGCATAAAGCTTTCTCAATTCGTGATTTTTAAGCTTTAACCGATCCCACGTCATTAGTTTAGCGCATTATGGAGCCGCCCCTTTCTAAGGCTTCCAAAAAAGACACTAATACGGAGTACTATGTATGGACTGTGTACGGAGTCCGGAGCAGCTTTAAGACAATTTATCTCCCACTACCCCCTTTTGATGTTTCCAGACAAGACAAAATAATTCTACAATATAGTCTGAGCTAAGTATTGTGTTTCCCATCCATGACGTTCCCGATTGGGATATGATGTTCATTGGCCAAAAGTAGAGATGGAGACGACATCGCCTCGTCTAGACTGGGAGATCCCCTGATCCTCCGTAGTTAAATTATGATTGAACGGCAATTTAGTTTCGGCCGAAGTCGCTACAAGGTGTGTATGCCTAAATATTTTAGGTCAAGTCTCTTCCGATTAGGGCCAGGCAACGATGATCTTTCTCGGCTATTGAACGGAGACTTTAGCTTTTTTTGCCACTTAGATTATCAACAATTAGCCCATAAAAGGAGTATGGTGAATTGAGGGGCCATCGGTATATTTTTCGAAAGCCCTAAGTGATAGACTTGAACGGAGTGCTTCGTACTCCGTACTCCGTACTCTGTTATGTGGTAGGCTAATATACGCGCACTAAGAAAGGACCCCAAAGCTTACACTATCGAAACCTAAAGTGCTGGTTTTATTGACCAAGTCCTGCTTTTCGCAACCCTTTCCCTGCCTTTACTGACCTGACATAGCTTTGCCAACAGAGGTGTGTTCTCGTTGCCGATGAAGCCGAGAGTTGGTCTCCACAGTGCAAGCTTTTAGTTCCTTTCTCGGTACGTGCATATCGGCCTACGATACACAGGGTGTGATTGAGGGGACTCAGATATCTCTCATCCGTTGCATGTGTGTTGTCAAATTGTGTCTTTTCCACTAATCGGATTTCCCGAGTTTGTGGGGCCACTTGGCTGGAG